TTGCAAAGCCAGCCCCGACCATCGTGTAAGCCAAGTCCTTGTGAGAAACCTCTTGATGCGTAGCTCCCCCGGGTCTGTTTCTCGAGTTGCACCCTGACCAATACAACAGACCGGTGAGGCAGCCGAGCTCAGTTGGAGGGGTCGGCCCAAGGCCACATGACTGGCAAGCGGGGCTGACTGCCGCTCCCTAGCACCCACAGGAACCACTCACACAATCATCGAAACCCAGCCACGCAGCTCACCCTCCGTTCTGCTGGAATTCTCAGGACCTCTCACCTACCCCCTCTCCTGGTCCATCTCCACTCACCAGTCAGAAGACTCCTTCCGAGATCTAAGTCAGATCATGCCCCCACTCTCCTCAGAATCCCCTAGTGGCTCATCTCACTCACTGTGAAAAGTCAAAACCCTTGAAATGGCCTGCAAAGCCCTACGTGCAAAGACCTACATGGTCTGTCCTGCTTCCCCCACCCAGAGCTACCTCTCTGCTCTCACCTTCTACCGCCTTGCCCTCCACTGTTCTCCACCCTAGCCACAAACCTCCCTGCCATGCCCTGAGCAGACCAGCAAGCATGCTCCCACCCCAGGGCCTTTGCACTGTTTACGCCTTTGGCCTGGTGTATTCTTCTTCAGGTACCCACGTCACTTCTTTGCTTCCCTCTAACAGGACATTCTTAGATAATATACACTTCATCACCCTAGCAGACTGCAAACTTCTCGAGGACAGAAAGACCCATCCCTATAACCACGACACCCGACACAGTACCCAACCTACAGCTGCTGGTGCTCGATAAGGCCAGCTGAAGTCTCTGGTCTCCGAACAAGCCACGCTCGGTCCTGCTGTCCCACCTTTGCCCAAGTGCTGTCCCTTGATCACCAAAGTTGCCTGTTCTCTGCCCCCAACCAGCAAAATTGCTCCTCTTCCCAGATAATTTCCCCTGATTTGAGCCTGCAGGGAGCTCTCTGTCCTGACCTGCAGTCTCATCCATGCACGTGTGAGCTCCTTGACCCAGCTGCTCCTTCAGACAGCACGAGGGGACCCCGCTCCTAGTGCAGGCCCTGCGGCAAGGTCTTCCCTCTCAAGGTGGTGGGACACAGATCATACACAAGAACACCCACGAGAGTGTGGTCCATCATGCGCACAGTGATGGGAGGGGGCAGCTAAACACCAGAGAATTGGGGCTTCTCTGAGGTGACAATTAAGCCGAAATGTTAAGAAGGGGCAGCCGTGTGAAAGATCAGGGAACGGCATTCCCGGCAGAGGGAACAGCACGTGCTGTGTGGAGAGAACAAGCTTGCTGTGTTTAAGGAAGGGAAGGTGAGTGGTATCACAGAGCAGAGAGGGCGGGGGCGGGCATGTTGGGGGTGGGTAGAGCCTGGGGCAGGACAGCAGGGAGGGGCTAAAGCACACAGAGCTCTGTAAGCCGGATTAAAGAGCTTTTTCTGGGTCGGATGGGGCAATTTAAGCAGTAAAGCACATGATTTGATACTTGCTTTGAAGAACTCACTCTAGCTGTGGTGTGGAGAACAATGCGGAGGGGCAAGGGTGGGAGCAGACAGACCCAGGAGGAAGCTGAGGTCTTCCTGAAGAGAAGGGAGCTTCCATCATTGTGTGATGGCGGAGGAGGTCGGGTTGGCACGGGAGAGAAAGGGAGGGGTCAAAGGCCACTTCTTGATGCTGGGCCTGAGGAATAGCATGGATGGTGGAGATGCAGGGAGGGGCAGGTTCAGCCTGAGGCTACACTGCCTGCCAGTCTCAGGGTCACCGGTCCTGCCTCTTCTAAGAGGCTGTAAGCTGCCTAAGAACTTTCTTGCTGTTGACTCCACCTTCCCCAGGCCTGGCTTCAAGTCTTGGATCTGTGCTCAATAAGAGACCCCCCGGAGGAGGAAGAACTGGGGTTTTGGGAACTAATAGGTGATAAGTGATGACCAGGAACAGCATCCATGCTCTCTGTGCACACACTGCTGCCTGGAGTGACTCTGGGAAGCTCCGTGAACTTCATTACAGAGTAGGCTGGAGCCCTGAACATGGACTCAGATCCTCACTTGGCCATGGACTGGAGGCAGCCACTCTCTGAGTCTCAGAGTCTCATCAGTAAAATGGGAATCCCACCGCCCATATGCAATGAGCCTTTGGGCAGCAAATGAGAAAACATATATGAAGTTGCCAGCCCCTAGGGGATGCTCAATAAATAATAGGAGCTAGAGCTAGCCCTTTGGGAGAGCTTTCTAGGTTGCAGTGTTCTAAGCATGCTTATGTATATTAGTTTGTACAATCTTCGTTATAACCATATGAGAAGTGTATTAGTCAGTGTTCTCCAGAGAAACAGAACAGGATGTGTATATATATAGAGAGAAAGATTTATTTTAAGGAATTGGCACACGTGATTAGGAGGGCTTGGTTAGCCCAAATCTGATGGGGTAAGATAGGATGGTAGGCTGGAGACTCGGAAAAGAGTTGCAGTTCAAGTCCAAAGGCAGTCTGGTAGCAGGATTCCTTCTTCTGAGGGGAGGTCAGCATTTGTTCTATTAAGGTCTTCAACTGATTGGATGAGACCAACCCATATCATGGGGGGTAATCTGCTTGATTCAAAGTCCAGTGATTTATATGTTCATCTCATCCAAAAACTACCTTGACAGAAACACCCAGAATAATGCTTCACCAAATATCTAAATACCATGGCCCACCATTGACACATAAAATTAACCACTACAAGGTGGGTATGAACATGGTCCCCAATTTACAGAAGAGCGAACAACACAGAGAGGGTAAGAAATCTGCCCAAGGTCTCAGAGGAGAAAAGCAAGACTGGATATTACTGCTGTCTGGCTCCAGAGCTTGCACTTTTAACCATGACACTAAGTGGCCATTATCATAAGCCAACATAAATTAAATTTCTCTCTCCATCCTTTTCCTGGCCTGAAAAGTGGAAGGCAGAGAAACCAGGGGAGGCTTGCCCGGGGTGAAGCAGCCTGGGTGGGGCCCTGACTTATTTAGGAAGCAGCACAGAACCTGAGCCTTGGAGATGCAGGGTAGGGGGACCTGAGAGGTTATCTGGTGCAGCCCTTGACTTTTTAGAGGGGAAACTGAGGCCCAGAGTATAGAAGGGACTCACCCAAGGTCCCAGGGCTTCAGAAAATACTGATGATGACAAACTTATACTTGTATAGTAGTTATTATGTCCTAGGGACTATTCCACATGAACTTACTTAAACTGCTACGTGTGAGGTAGATACTATTGTCATCTTTGTAGAAAATGAGGAAACTGAGGCAGAGTTTAGAAACTTGCCTAAGTCATGCAGAGCAGAATCTGAGCCCAGGCACAGGTAGTACACTATACCTCTGAGGCCCAAGCAAGGTTCTTGGGTGGGGCTGGAGGGGTGATGTGACACAACCCCAGGTGTGCCCCTCCTTCCCAGTTCTCCCTCCCGGGGCTCTGACTGCAAGTGACAGCTGGGGCCCATACGCAGTACGCAATTCCTCAGGTTCCTAATGCAGCCTCCCCCTCCTATTCACGCAGGAAATACCCTTCTGCATCAGTGGGTGGGCAGACCTGAGACCCCCCCTGCCCAGCTGCCAGGCATGTGCACACACACATCTCCTCCCACACTAGACACCTCCCAAATAGGGACACAAACACACATGAACACAGACTCTAAGAAGATATATCCCAACACACTGGCACACACACTTCAATACCTGTGTGCCCTAAGGAGTAAACATACCCTCATGGCATACAACTATGAAGACCCACGCATGTCCATACACAACCCCACCTACACACATGCCCCCCAGTACATACACTAGGGCACAACTTTCCTGGTCCCTATAAACATACAAGCAAGCACTTGCACACAAAAAACATAGCAACCCATACTCAGAAACACACGACATACAATTACACCTATCCCAATTCACATTCTATCCCTTATACATGGGCACACACACCTCTGCTGATCCACAGGTCAAGGCACTTCAACAGATATCTCCCCAGGGAACCAATAACTTGAGCCACGTGTTTATACATACTCCCACATCCCCGAGGGCCAGAACCCCCAGATGGCTGCTGGTCCCATAACTCACCACCCCCATAAGTATGGGCAACACACATGTCAACACAGATCGCTTAAGTCTGCCGCCCTCCCCCCTACCCCCCGCCGCCAGACACACAGCCCTAACTCCTAGGGACCACCCTCCCCCAATGAACTGTGCGTCACCCATTCCCAGGCAAGTGCAGAACCCCGCCTCCCCCACCCGGAGAGAATCCTTCTCTGACCCCAGCCGACAGCGCCTAGCGCCTGGCCCACAGCGTCCGAGGATTTGGCCCGCCTCTCTCCCTGTTCCCACCCCTTTCGCAAACTCTGGGTGGGCCCTGGCACCTGTCAGGCCAATGCCAGGGCCAGTCGGCCCCCTCCCATCTAGGCCTCTACTGCCACCACGTAGAGCCCCCACCCCCGCAGCAATGAGAAAGCGCTCAGAGCTGGGGGAAAAGGAGAACGTTTGCGTTGCAGGCGTTAAAAACTCACAGCCACTCAAGTAGGACCCCCTTTTCAGTCCAGGATCTCACCTTCGCACGGGGAAAACCCTGCGTCTCTGTTAACCCCCTCATTACCGCCGCACCACCGGAAGGACCCAAGGAGAAGTCACAGCAGTGCTCAGCAATAGGCACCGCAGCCCACGGTGGGGGGCGGGGGGAAGATCCGGCTGCCAGCGTTGCGGGGGCCCTTCACGAGACACCCCCACACCCTCCCATGCACCCACCCGCATTCCCACCGGGAGAACCCAGGGAGAGCCTGAGGGGCTTGGTGGGAGAAGGTGTGAGTACCAGAGAGCTTAGGGGCCATGGGCTGGGGAGGGAGACACCTGAAGGGAACCCGGCCCCGCGGGACCACGGGGCGGCCGGCAAGGACAAGCCCCCAGAAAGTCCTCTGCAGGATCCGAGAGGCACGAGCGCGAAGCGGGAGAGGAGGTTGGAAGGAAAAACGCCCGGAGGCTCCCTTACCTGATTTCCTCTTGGAACTGCCATAGTCCCTGAAAAAGAAACAACAACAGACAGACATGGTTAGGGCCGGGCAGGGGCGCGGGGCTGCGGGGCTGCGGCTGCGGGGCGCCCACCGGCTGGCTGCGGTCGGTCCGCGGCACCACTGCTCATGTGATCCTGGCGGCCCGCGAGCCGCGCGCTCCGCAGCCGCACGCACTGCGCGCCGCGCCTGCCCGCGGGTCCCCCCGGCAGCCGGCCCCGGGCGCGAGCCACGGGCCCCGCCCCACCCCGCCCGCCGCCCGCACCCCGGACCCCGCCCCGCCCCCGGCCGGCCGGACGGGAGGGGCTCGGTGGGCACCTTCCCGGTCTTCAGCGGGTGGGGGAGGGCGGGGCAGGTTCTCACACACTTTGTAAATAGGGAAACTGAGGCCCCGGGCGCCCGTGCCCCTCCCCTACAGAAGCTTCCCCTCCCAGTTCTTTGCAACGCTTGCTCATGCCCACTCAGACTTCCAGTCACGACTGAAATGTCACCTCCTCAGCGTGTCTTCCCCAACATCCTCCCCATCTCCTCTCCTCTGCATAATTACAGATTTGTGTGACCCTTAATTAAAGTCTAGCCCCGGACCTAGACCCCAGGCTCCCTGAAGTCACACTGTGGCTTGACTCCTCCCATTACTTCCCCTGGGCCCAGCGTAGGTGCGGATATATATTGGCCGTAGGCTGAATATTGAACAGATACGTCTTTCACCTTAAAGTCTCAGGCTGGGAAATGGATTTAGCAGCGGTGAGGGAGGGCACAGCACAATGCAAGGGTTAACTGTGAGGCTAGGAATAGTAATAATGGAGGTTCAGCTTCTGAGTGAGTACTGGATTCAAATCTCATCAATAGCAGTAACTCAACACCTCCCAGCCTCCATTAACCTGCCCTGGACTACCCCAGGCTGAGGCCCTCCAGCAAGGACTTAATCCAGACTCAGGATCACGTTATTTCCCAAACCCTGCCCTTGTTGCTGCCTTTGGCCCCTCCAACCACCGCTTCCATTCCCCAATCCTCGGGGAGCGGGGAGTGGAGAGTTACAGGCCTCTGAAAGGCTGAAGGCTCCTGGAGGGCTCAGGAGAGGCGGGCTGGGGGTCTATCCAGAGACTGGAGGAAATGCCTTTATTTTCCCTGGGGGATCAAAGAAAATGCCAATTGTTGGACTTTGGTCTAAGCGAACTAGCCAGCTCCGTCTGCTGGAAAGAAGTGATTTCGTGGAGGAAGGAACAGCAGGTTCATAAGAAAGAGGGTCAACCTCATGGAGACGCCCTGAGATTCTGATTCTGGAGGTCTAGGGGTATAGCCTGAGCTTTTGGGGAGTTAAGCACTAACGTGATTTGCTTGCACAGCCAAGGGTGAGGGGTTCCACCTCTCCTAGGCTCCTAAGTTTTCTAAAGTTTGGGCTCAGACCCCCAGTGAATCAGAAAGCTGGAGCTGAGGCCCAGGAACCTGCATTTCTGATACCTTCCCCCTACCTGCCCATCTTAGTTTGAGAACTCCCTTAGTATTCCATGCTTCTTTCAATCCTCACATCCACACTAAGAGGAAGGTCTTATCACCTCCATTTTACAGATGAAGAAACAGAAGCTCAGCCACTGCCCAAGCTCATCCAACTGGGAAAGAGCGGTGGTATATACAGCCACCTGCCAAGAATGGAAATGGCAGGGTGGACGGGGCAGAGGAGGACCTGCTATATCTGTGGCCTCCAGGAGCAGTTAGGAAGGTGGGGAGTTCCCATGCAACCCCCCCCACCCCCGACCTGGCAGTCTGGGCATGCTCATCTCTCTAGGACAGAAGGGAAGACCAGGAGAGACTGTGTCCCAGAGTGCCTGGCTGGGCCCCTTGAAGCTCACATGGTGGCTATGTCCTGCCCAGCCAACTTGCCACTCCCGGGGAGGAATTCATTTCTCAGGCTTTTGTGCAGAGTGAGGGAGGCCTGGGAAAGGAGCTGTCCCTCCCTGCTCCACTATGTTCCTGCTGGTCCTGCAGAAGCCCTCGGGGGCCTGGGACCACAATGCCCACTGACCATCTGCTGGCTGCCGGTGGCACAGGAGGACGTGGCTTCCTCACAGTGCCATAGCCACCTAGCTTTTTCCTCTCTCGTTTGTGCAGCTGCTGGCTGCCCAGGATTTGCTTTGAGCTTGTCAACAGCACCAAGAAGGGAGGCAGGCAGGTCATTCTCGGGTGACAGGAGCACACCGAGGCTTGGGAGTGGGAGAGGGACATAATTCCCAGGTGCCCAGGTCAGCAATACTCAGCTTGGTTATTCAACAGGATCATCTGGGGAGCTGGTTACAAATTCAGATGTGGAATCCCACCCAGCCAACCACACTGTCTGCATCTCTGACAAGTGCTGGCCGAGAACTCCATCCCTTCGCTACAACCCTGACAGGCAGGCAAGAGTGGTACCAGGGGGCACTGCAGTCTCATCAGGACCCCAGCCACCGCTAAGAAACATTTCTGCTTTCTAAGAACGATGTGCTTGCAGTGCCAAAGAAGCTTCCAGACAGATCCCTGGCCGGCCTGTCCTTTAACCAAAGTATAAGCCCTTCCCACCTGGACCCCTCTGCAGGAGGTGTGGCTTCCACAGTTCACAGGTGAGGAGGGCAAAGCTTAGAGAAGTGACAACTTGTTCAAGATCACACGATGAGTAGGGGCAAGGCTGGGATTAGGCACGGAGAACCCAGGCCTTGCTCTGGTGCTCAGATCCTCAAGCACTGCCACCCCAGAGCCATGGGTGCAAGGAAGGGAGGGGAACGTCTGACCCAGAGAAGCACCTGGGTCAGTGGGGGTGGCCGGGCTCTGACTGAATGGTGGGAGTGGCCGGCACAGGGCACCTGGCCCCCTTCACAGGGCACCTGGCCTCCGGCCTGAGCAGGCCTGGCCCTAATAGGAAACCTCTTGCAAGTTTCTGGTTGGGCACCTTTGAACAAAGCCATTTCGTATTTTTAGCCGCTGAATATGCTGAGAAGCGGCCTAGGTACCCAGTGGCTGGGCCTCCCCCATCCCTCACATATCAGGGCACGGGCGGGGGAAAGGCAGGGCCTGGCCACCTCCAGCTGCCCTGCAGTCAGTCCTGGCCTGGGCAGGACTGCAGGACCCTCTGCCGGGGTTCAGCTCCCTAACAACCCAACCCCCCTCCCACTCTTCCCCTCCTTGCTCCAATTCTTGCCCTGAGCTGGTGCTGACAGCCCCCACCCCGCTGGTGATTCCACTCGGGTAGGTCACAGTCTAGCCTCCTTGCAACTTGCTGCTGAATCACTATATCCCAGGGAGCCACAGGAAGCAGAAGGGGAGGGGAAGGCCAGTCTCCCTCTAGTGCCGCCAGAAGCTAATGTAATTGCAAAGGCTCCCAGGCTGTATCCCGACCCGGTCCCAACAGGCCACTCAGCCTTCTCCACAACTGGTACTGAGGATGACTAAGCCCCCAGGTACAGTGACCCGGCCATGCCAGGCAGACTGGGACAGTTGGCCAGCTTCTGGTCCATAGGTCTGGCCTGGCTGGGGGGGAGAGGGGTGGAGTTCCTCCAACACAGCACCGTACTCCTCCCTCATCTCAGACTCCTGAGGCCTCCCCCATCCCCTCCCCCACAATCTCAGGATATAAACAGTTCCTCTCCTGTCCCTGCCTCTAGGGTGCAGGGGACAGGTTCCAGAAGCAAGAGAGAGCCCAGTTCAACCATCTGCTACTTGCTAGCTGGGTGGCCATCTTGAGCCTCTGCTTATCTGTAGAATGGGGTAATAACAGTACCTTTAGATTTAAGGAAGATGAAGTGTACAGTATGCATAAAGGGGCTTGTGTAGTGCCCGGCCCAGAAAATGCCATGTAAATTGTCCTTGTTATTAGTCTTTCACACCTGAAACTGACCCCACCTCAGTTGCTAGCCAAATGGCAAAGTCCTGTTTAAACTTGGACGTCACCATGATGCTGGCAGCACAGTACCAAGCAGGGGCAACTCCAGCCCCGTTTGCAGAGTTTTGCACTTTCGCAGACACCAAACAAGCCTGCTCTCTGCTGAGCGCGGTCCACCTAGGAAGAGCCCTTTTCCATACAATGAACATCTGAACAGGGTTCGTCTGGCTACAACCATACTCTCAGGGAGACACTGACCCCTAGGAACTGGCATGCCTGGGCTCACTTATCAGGTGCCTTTAACCTCCCAGAGTGGCCTACTCTCTGAGCCCCAAGCCACAAGACATAAAGGTCCTGCATTTTCATGCTACGGCTGAAAGGTGGGTCAGCTTACTTTTCCCCCATTTTTTCCCACTCTAATTTCTCTGGGTGAGACATGTTGCTCTCCTCCTGCGGACATTCTAGTGAAGGGGCTGGGCTAGAGACAGCAAAGAGCATGAGGCCAGAGTCAGGGGGCAGGAAAGGCAGTTAACAATTCCTACCTGCTGGTCACCTATCTTGGCACACGCCTTCCCACTCTCTGCCCTCCCCTGAGAGTTCCCGGCACCCATGTGACCTTCAGGGCTCAGAAACAGGCAGGGGTGGTGGTAACCCATGTTATGAATAGGAAGACTGAGCTCCTGAGGGCTTCCGTGGTTTGCCCAGCCTCCCGAAGCTGAAGTGACATTGCTGATGGGGTGTTCCCCACCCTGAGGCCCGCCGGGGAGTGGGCTGCAAGAAGGGGATGCAGGAGCAGCAGGGAAAGGCTCTTGCTGGGGAAAGGAGGCGGCCGTCCTGCCAGTCAGGGATCCCCGGGGTGGGAGAGCCACTGAAGGTCTGGCCAGGCCAGCTCTGTGGAGAGATGCTGAGTCCCTGCCAGGTGGAACTCTGCCACCCCCTCTCCCTCCCATTCTTGCTCCCATTAGAGAGTGCCCTGACGGAGGAGGGTGCGCACGCGGGAACTTCCAGCCTGATGTTCTCACTCTCTGTCTGCTGGCTGACATTGGCCGCTCAGCCCAGGATGCCCGTCTGCAGGGCCTGCTGCTGCTTGGAACTGCGTGAGAGGCCTGCTGGCTGGCCAGACGGCTGGCTCTGGGTGACCTTGAGAGCCCAGGGTCTCA